GAAAAATTTGTGCAAAGTTTTAAATGAAGGCTGCAGAAAAAGCTTTGCATCAATAATCTTCTCACTCCTGTTCTTCTTACATCTCTCTTTATGTTGCTTTTCTTAGAAATGACCCCTTGGTTGGTAAAGCCGTGGCGTATAGTTCATGCATACCCAGCATATTCTTTCATCTGTCCAGTTTTGCCACCTTGCTTTGCGGCTCAGAGGCTTAAAAGCATCACGTTGTACACCCTGCAAATTTCAGATATTAGCAACCAAGCTCTTACAGGTTCTAAGCGACACAGATGATGGTTTAAAAATTGGGAAAACATGCTGTTATGCAACGCCTACAGTTTGAGATGCATTTAAGGAGACAGACATCTGCTTGTAAACACCCTGAATAAACAGCCTTCATGTTCATTCTGAGACATTGGAGGCAGTTTGTACCTGTGGTCTGACATTGTTCCATTCTCTGCCTTATTTAGGATGAACCCAGGAGAGAACGTTTATTCTCCCACACATTGGTCAAGAGTCAACAGCCTTTTTGTTTGTCTGGAAGTCACAATGATAACGGTTGCCTCCCGCAGAAAGCGCTTCGCTTGTCTAGCAAGTTGGCAGTTCAATAACAGCGTTCATATCCAAAAATCAAACCTCTGCTCAAGTTAGCCAAGTTTCATTTTAGGGCTGAAACAATTAATCAGATTAATCGATTATTGAACTAATCCTCAACTAATTAAATAATAAATTAATTATTAATTGGAGTATAGGGACTCTAAAACTACCCTTTAGCTGACAGAGCGACCCACTTAGAAAAGGATGTATACTTAGATTGTAAAAATATATATAAATATCTTTAGTTTCACTTAGTTTAATTTTTATTTTAAAAAGTCTTCTTTGAGGAACCTCTGATTATTATCGAAAAAATAATCAACAGAATAATTGATTTGCAAAATAATCATCATTTAAACAAACTAGGGCTGCAAATAAAAAAAAAGGTTAAAAAATGGTAGCAATACAGACTATAGTTACAAATACATTATATTATTTTAGCTTTCAGTCTGAAAAAAAAAAATCATTTTGTGCGTTTTTGCAATAAATCCTAAAAACAGTTATAATTTCATAAGCGTCTTAAACGACCCAATGCGTGTTAGAAAACCAAACGTGTTCAGTGGGATGGGCTGAAATGTTTGATAGTAGGCCAGATGTATTCCAATGAACATCGGATCAGATATCCATCTGATCATCATTGAGCTTTGTCTCATTAATTGTAGAGAAATGTTTCAATCCACATTAAAAATTTATAGCCAGATTGGCATGAAGGCCCACATGTGCCCAATAGCAACTACTGCTGGAGTGTTTGCTGAATACACAATAAAACTCTTTGGCTAAATGGATGTTCCACATGAATATTATTGAGCCGAAACAATTAGAGGAATGAGAGAGAGGCCTAAAGGTCTGTGGTTTGAATCCCCACTGGGCAGACAAAGTGCTGGCCCATAAGGGGATGAGAAACTTACTGCTGCTCCTCAACAGCCACAAAGTGCCCTTGAACAACGTTCGGTGGCCAACAACACAAGTGCTGGGCATCTCCCAGGTCTGTAATAAATCAAGAAGTCTGCAGTAGCACTTGCTCTGCTAGAATATACATTAATCCCTTTTCCTTTTGCTTTCAGAGGATCCCACCCACAGGTCTGAAGAAGCAGAAAGTGATGCTTCTATATCTGTTGCACGTCCCTGTAGAATCCAAACCACAGCAGAATGTGGGGAAATCTGTAGGATCTTAGAAGCTCTTGTGTTTCTCACCCACACGTCATAATAGCCCATGTTCATACAGCAGCAGAAGTAGCAGTGGCAGTTTTATTTGATGGCTGATAAGATTTACTGCGGTGAAAAACAGCCAGTGCAACAGACAGGCAAGTGCAGAGTCCAGACTTGTGACTGTTCAGCAGCCTTGACATCGTTTGCATCAGGTTATTTGAATGTTCTCTGATGCTGTTGCAGGTTTCTTACTACACAGCAGATAGTTTAGTCAAATCAAGCCTATCTGACCCAAAGGTCCCACTGAGCTGCTAAACACTGTAAAGAGGCCTTTTTGAACAGCAGCTTTAAAATGTGTGGAGGTTTTAGTAATCTAAGGCAGCAGAGGACAAGCTGAGCTACCTTGAACATCCAGTGTGAGTTCAGGTCAAATAATTAAGCAGCTTAAATGTTTGACAAAAGAAGGGCTAAAAGCCAGACCTCCAGGCACAGGAGCTACTTAGAGGGCTTTTCTTTCACATTACTTCAGATTTTTTCCCACTAAGAACTAATTCTAGTAGAAATTTCCCTTTAAACCAGATGTTACAAAACCCAAACAAGCCAGTAAATATGGTCATTTTGCCTTTTGGAATCTGAACTGGAGATGTACTTTGCTCTCTCTCTTGTAACACATACAAAACTTCCGGCCCTGACCTCGGATCCAAAGTCCAAAGGAGTAACAAGAACGCCTACAGACGGTCCATCCCAAAAGCCTCCCAGCTGGTCAGAGCAATGAAAAATATAAAAACTTACAACCTTTAAAATCAGACAAAAAAAATCTCTATGACCTGATGGCGCTACGTAGAATACACCATAGAATGTTTATCCTCTGAGGGGAACAACCGAAGGTTTGGACAACAGGATTTTTGCAGCAGGAGTTTAGGTAGCCAGAATGAGGAGCATTAGCATTAATGAGGATCATTAGCACAGCCATGTTTCCAGCCCACGGCTGTTTATGCAAGACCAAAGGAAGGAATGTCATGTCGGCGTGTTGTTGACGTGTTGTGGCAACAAATCTTTGCAACATTTTGTAACAACCTCCGGTGCCGTGTTTATTGAACGCTGCCACTGTTTCAGCTTCTGGCTCAGGTCCCTTCTGCAATTTGAGGCAAATTTAAGATCCATTTGTAGGATTAACCTCACCACCTTTCACACACAAATAATAAAAACATAAAACGGCAGTTAAGGAAGGAAACTAAGCTGCTAAAAGCCATCATTAACGAGGCTGTGGAGCCGACAATATTTGACCGAACGCATTTGATGAACTACATTCCGACAGCTGGAACTGGTATCATTATTTTAGTCTAGTGTGTGAGTAGAGTTTCTAACCAAACCAAGCCATGGTGCGTCTACAGAACAGCTCATTTACGCCAACAACAAATGCAAACTTTGGTTCTCGAGCCATTTGCTTTTTAATAAAGGTGTCTAACTCCAGCGAAGCCCCAAAATTAACTGCTGACCAGACTCTGATCATCGTTGAATCAACATTGAATGCACCATGGCCAAAAAACCTTTAGGATGTGATTAAAACTATAAATCTTCAGGATCAAAACTTCATAAAATAAAAAACAAAAATGTACATCTATTCTCTGTATCACTGAGATGTAAAAACTATCTAAAATAAATATACCTTCCAAGTAATATCTTCAGTTTATTCAGGCTTCAAGGAGAGCAAGAGAGAGCAGGGATTTCAGCATCCAACAGGAAGGCTGCACAGAGCACAGGAACAGTGTTTGGTGTGTCATATATCAGAGAGAATCTGGGTAAAAATCCATGTCTGGGTAACAATCTACTTCTTCATATTTTGCAAGCATTGCTTACTTTTTACTTGCTAACCGCTAACATTAAACGTCAAGTAAATGTTTTATATTAGAGGTCACTAATATGCTTGGTTGTGTAGTTTATGAATGACCTGGTAATTACATCACATATAAAAGCTATTTCAATATTAAATATGAAACTTCTAAGTTTTCATCAAATGCTATTATACTTCAGAGAAAAAGCTCTAATGCTAAAAACATTAAAATTTTCCGTTTATTTGCAGCGCCCCCTGCTAGCCTGAATTAAGGTATTATTGTCCAGGTGCAGCTATTTGATGCACAAACTGCCACTCTGTAATCTGATTAACGCTGAGAATATTTCTGAATCATTTCAATATTTTATTATTGTAATAGCTACAGGATCATTTCTTCAGAGTTAAATAATGTCTTACTGATCAAGCTTCGCAGTATGTGAGATATGTTGATTTTCTCTGAGGCTGTATAGTGACTAACTCAAAATTCTGTCAAAAGCAGTCAGAAAATATCTATACCCCAATTTATTTGATTTAACCAACAGCTAGAAGAATGAAGCAGGACTGACGGTGGAACAGCAAAATGTTTTAAAAAAAATGCTTAAATCCATAGACTGTTTAATTGTTCCAAGATCAAAAGTGATTTTCAAACAAAACACATTTTGTTATGAGGTCAGTTAATGAGTTCATTGCTGGTCAGTAGGTGACTGAAACAGGAAGTTCTAAAAGCACAACAGAAAAATCCTCATTATGCATGAACCATATGAATGGGGCCCAGCAGAGAGTCTGACAGGGCCTTATATAACCTTAGTGCAGCTATGTAAACTATTTAGACACACACCAATAGATCTACCACAGAAGGAAATCAAATCAGGTCATTTTTGTCTTCTCTCTATGCTCATCAGGTCAAATACTTAAACATTAATTTTCACTTACTCCTTTATAAATTAGAACTCACTAATTTTTTTTGTCAATAAACAGATGAACCAGATGACTTTTACCCTGATGGATAAATGGAAAAGTATCAAAGCAAGAATCAGCAGTGAAATAAATTAGGATTTTCCGAAAAGATCCGGGGGAGTTGGCTCCTTTATCAGAGCGAAATGATCCGGATCTTAAAAAGGAGCCGGAATTCCCATCAGTGGGATGGAGGGGGGGGCTTTAACACCCATCATTGATATTAGTAATAGCAAGTGTGTTTATTCCTGCACAGCCCTTTATAAGCGGCTGGTTAATCAGAGAGGAGCTGCAGCCTCAGTTTGTGTCCATATGCGCCCCTGAACCCCTCCAAGCACGCAGACACATCCAGCCCCTCAGCTGTCACACCGATCCACACACTGTCATCCTGCTGTTTATTCCTAGCGGTGGCCTTTATATCCCCCCCACCCGCTCGGGCCGGCGGTGCGTTCATGTGCGGCAGTAGATCCCCTACCTGCTCGCTCAGCCGGAGAGGCGCATCGTTATCAGGCGACTGGAGGCAAATCCAATGAAAGCGGCCGCGACACTTTAGGCAGCAGGCGGAAATGGCGAAGAGGCCGAGACGAATAATAAAAAAAAGATGAACATTTCTGCTTGGAACAAAAAAAAGGGACGCTTATTCAAAGAGCGGCTGTGCGCGAGCTGCGGCGTGGAGCGCGCAGTCTGTGGGAATTGTTTATTGTCGGAGTCCCCTCGCTGTGGAGAAGTGAGCAGAGACTGCCACACTCCTCCTCCTCCTTCCCCGCCTGCCACTGACACCACCCTTAAAGGAACAAGCGCCTCTGCTGCCCACACACTCCCACTCCCACTGGAGCCAACATGTTTATATTGTGACCATTTGCAGCGCTGAAGGCAACGCTGGGCGTTCAGGAAAACATCGGTTTGCGTGATTGTGGTGCCATATATGCCTGATTTCCCTCCTCAGAACAACAAACTGAAGTTTAGCAGAGTTTGTTTTGTTTATTTGGTTTTGACACATGGATCTACCACAGCATTTGTGTTGCATGTTTTATTTGCCTGTTTTTGCAGACAAGGCTTATATCAATAGATGGTCAGATCAAATAAATTTATACCAACATAAAGTCATTATTACTGGAAATGCTAATAAGTGAAATTAATCTGCAGGCGGTGGTGTGCACAGACATTTTTGGGGGCAGGTGCACAGATTGGAAAAAGGGCACCTCATACGTCATATGGAGACGGCAACAGCTAAACACCGTCTGATGATGACAATCTTGCTCAGTCTATAGGTAGCAATGCAATGGTGTTGCTTAGGGTCCCGTTATGATCACCTGGTAGGCCCCTACGCAACTGTGGACTAGGACATCTCTTTGCAGATGTAATGGTGTGAAAAAATTATCTTATACCCACCTGATACCTAGAACTTTTACTGGACAACATGATGACGAGCCGTTTAAACACGACACCAATAGCAAAGCTGGCAGTGGTATGGTTAATTACTATGTTAATTACTGTGTATAGTTCATCAGACGGTTGGTAAAAAAATACACTAATATAAGATGTTTCAAACCGCAATAATGATCTTAAAGGAACGATGTATTTGAGTATTTAAAAAAAAAAATACGACTTGGAATTATGGGTAATCCAGAGCGTTTTGAATGGGGTGCTGTATTTCATATGGGGCCCACCCAGATAATGTTGCTTATAGGCCTATTGTTGTGTCGTTACGCCATTGTATCAATGCCACAATGGCGTCAATTAAATAAACATTAACATCCACTTATATAGAGCCCAGGAATCCAGAATATCTTTAAATTTATTGTGTTTTTATGACAATTTGCAGATGAACTAAGAAAATATGAAAAAATAACAACTGTATTATCTTATTTCAAGTGCATAATATGTAATAATCTTATTTTATGTTAAAAACTTTAATTCCACTGACGGATCATCTTATTTTCCTGTTCAGATTTGGGACAAATAGTTATTTTCAGAAAATGTGATATATTTTCAGGTCAGTATTTGCAGTCCAAGATGTCTGTCAATAAACAGAAACTGAAAATGCAGTTTCATCTAGAACAGAAAGTCCCTTTATTGCACCACAATGGGGAAATTCTGTTGTTACATGTCCCACTTTAACTAAATAGAACCTTATTAAAGTTATTTTTATGAACTGTGAGGCCTTTTTTAAGCCTTTTGTTTAGTTTTAAATTAAATGTTGAGAAACAGGTTTGCTGTAGTTGTCATAAAAAAGTCCAATAATGTCATTAGGGAGTCCCTGACAGGAACCATTACAGAAAATATATAATGACATATATGAGATGCTAATCTAAGAGTTGCATTTTAAACCGTTCCTTGGCACCTGGTAGAGGCCATTAAAGACGTTATGCTGTGAACTAACTGGTAGGTGAAGGAAGTAAATACGCTTGTTTGGTTACCTGGACGGTTAGCTGGCCCTTCACCAGGGCAACACAAAAGGAGGCGGAGCTACACGTCTTATTGAGCAAAATGACAACAATCTAGACTCTTGGTTTGATAGGATTTTAAATTCATAAATACTATCTTGGGCCAAATACTAAAAAAACCAACAAACTATTTCAGGAGGGCATTTTTTTGTCCAGAGGGGAAAATGGTCGGTGCTCCAGCACCACCTAGTGTCTATCTGTGCACGCCTGCCTGCAGGGGTGCAGGTGGAGCTCCTAAAAACCTGTTATGACCCTTGTATTGGTATAAGCCATTGATATGATGTAGTTTGTTGGATCAACCGCTTATCTACAGCTGGGAAGAAGCGTTTCGATAAGCTCATCAGGGAGGCCAGTGTAGGTACCAGATCTGCTCAGGGCCATGCCCCTTTTTTGTCTAATCTGACCGCATTACTTTCTCCCATCCAAATGGTCATTGGCAAACTAAAGATGGGCCTTGACATGTGCTGGTTTAAGCAGCGGAACCTTCCGTGCCGTGCATGATTTCAAACCATGACTTAGTGTATTACCAACAGTAACCATGGAAACGGTGGTCCCAGCTCTTTACAGGTAATTGACCAGCTCCTCCCGTTTAGTTCTGGGATGATTTCTCACTTTAGAATCATTGAGACCCCATGAGGTCAGATCTTGCATGGAGCCCCAGTCTGACGGCGATTGACAGTCATGTTTAGCTTCTTCCATTTTCTAATGATTCCTTCAACAGTGGACTTTTTTGCTTGGTAATTCCCCGGTAGCCCTTTTCAGCCTTGTGGAGGTGTATAATTTAGCCTCTAGTGTCTTTTGACAGCTCTTTGGTCTTGGTCATGTTAGTAGTTACTGAGTTCTTACTGATTGTATGGGGTGAACAGGTGTCTTTATGCAGTTAACGACCTGAAACAGGTGCAACTAATTTAGGATAATAAATTTAGTGGAGGTGTACATTTTTAAAGGCAGACTAACAGGTCGTTGAGGGTCTGAATTCTAGCTGATTGTGTTCAAATACTTCTTTACAGCTGTATCATACAAATAACTATTAAAAAATAGTATATGGGGATGTTTCTAAGTGAGAGAACTTTTAAAATAGCAGGGTATTTAAATACTTATTTTTTCTCACTATAACGGTCTAACAGTTACTTTGTTCGGTCATTAGACGTGCTAAAAATACAGATGCTCCCAACTCGTCACACGGACGGTGGTGGGAGAACAGTGGCACAGCCAGAAACTGTTATAGGGATCAATGTGCTTTGAGGGGCTGAAGTGGAAAGGCGCTAAACCCTCTGGGTCAATCTACAGTATTCCAACAGGAAATGAATGAGCACTTGAATGAGCATATATGATTATGTTTTATTTAAACATACACTGGGGCAAACAGTATTTGGTAAGCCACTGATTGTGCAAGTTCTGCTACTTAGAAATATCAGAGAGGTGTGAATGTTTCTTCATGAGGACAGTCCAACTATAAGAGAGAAAGTTGGAAAAAAAAAAATCCAGGAAATGTATTTGTATATCCTCTCTAAAACCACCGGGTTGCTGGCGACCCAGTGGATGTTCTGTGGGATGTCTTCTTTTTCCAAACACATTGATTTTTTTTTTTTTTTTACTAAAATGTTCTATTTCCGTTTCATCTGACCGCATAATATTCTTCCAGTCCTCTTCTCAATCATCCATATGCTTTCTGGCAAGCTGAATACGGGCTGGACATGTACTTCCTTAAGCAGCTGGACACACCTGGCACTGCAGGATTTGAGCCTTTGTTCCTTTGGTTTTAGCTCACTGCAGGTCATTCATAAGATAAGGTCTTCCATTGGGCCTCAGGTCAGGAGGGGCTATTAGTGTATGCCTTCCATTTTTTTTTACACAATTGATTTATTCACATTAACCTGTTTGACAATTTTTCCAGCCTGGAGCAGGCTGTAGTTTTCTTCCTGATGTCTTTGACATCTCTTTGGTCTTTTCCATGGTTGAGTTTGTAGTTTGCGTGTTTAAAGTTTTGGATGGCTGCCTTTTATAAAGATAACAAGCTCAAACATTAATACAGGGAAGAAGTAGAGGACAGAGGAACTTAGAGGTTTGTGAGGGCCTGACATTTTGCTTTTTTGTTTTAACAACATAATTATGTTCCATAAATCTACAAATAAAATATTTAAAAAATCCACCAGTGTGATTCCTGGATTTTTTTTCCTCACTTTGTTTTGCATATTTGAAGTGTACGATAATAAAAAGGTACAGAACTCTCTAAGTATTTTTTCATCCCAGTGTTTGTATCACTGCTGCTTACCTTTATCAAGGCTGAACTTTAAAGAATAAAACGTCTAGAGAGGTGTACTAAACAAAATTTCTTTTTATACACACCTATGTGTACAAAATGACAAAAATAAAATCTAAGTCTGAGTCTAAGTATAAAAATTTGCACAAGCAGTAGCTGACTAAATCATTTTTTGCCCAATTGGATTTGCAGTTTGATAAGTTCTGCAAATACAGCTTTAATAATAATAATGTCTTGCAGGGTGAGAAAGTTTTGAAATCAAGCCCTAAATTTTATAAATTCATAAGGTAATTCAGTGTTTGGTTAATGGCAATTCAGAAAATAAATAAAAAAATAAATACCACTATTTATTATTGATTATATATAAAATTTTTCCCATTTATTCTTTAAGTTTCTTTTATAAGATATTATCCAAAAAACAGGATTTTTAATTTGAAAAGGATTATATTGACTGCAGGTAGTTTTATACTGTATATTGTATATAGCATAATGTATGTTTTATATTGTATATACACTATATTGCCAAAAGTATTTGCTCACCCATCCAAATTATTGGAATCAGGTGTTCCAATCACTTCCATGGCCACAGGTGTATAAATTCAAGCACCTAGGCATGCAGACTGTTTTTACAAACATTTGTGAAAGAATGGGTCGCTCTCAGGAGCTCAGTGAATTCCAGCGTGGAACTGTGATAGGATGCCACCTGTGCAACAAATCCAGTCGTGAAATTTCCTCGCTCCTAAATATTCCACAGTCAACTGTCAGCTGTATTATAAGAAAATGGAAGTGTTTGGGAACGACAGCAACTCAGCCACGAAGTGGTAGGCCACGTAAACTGACGGAGCGGGGTCAGCGGATGCTGACACGCATAGTGCGAAGAGGTCGCCAACTTTCTGCAGAGTCAATCACTACAGACCTCCAAACTTCATGTGGCCTTCAGATTAGCTCAAGAACAGTGCGCAGAGAGCTTCATGGAATGGGTTTCCATGGTCGAGCAGCTGCATCCAAGCCATACATCACCAAGTGCAATGCAAAGCGTCGGATGCGGTGGTGTAAAGCACGCCGCCACTG